TTCTTTTTTGTAACTTGGCTTGTGTGGGCCAGGTGCTCTAGGCCCCGGTGCGCAGTTCTAGTCCTTCGAACCCAAACACGCAGACCTGCACTTTGGGCTTTTTTCTTTAATTTAATTTTTTTAATTAAGAATTTTTAGGAACAATTTATAAAAGTTTGAACATTATTATTTGTGTTTTTCACGCAGCATGACAATAATAAAATATATATGATATCTGTTTAAATTTTAAAATTAATATATATTTTAGATTATATCACTTTTATCATTTAAATTTTATTTTTTGAATTTGTCATTTCTTATAAAAATTCTCATCTAATTGATTTTTTATTTTTTAAAAAATTTTATTTACTAATAAATATAATATAATTTTTTAAATAATTTCTTTCAAAAATAAATTGATATAATATATTATCGTGAATTCTTAGAATTTTTAAATAATATTAGCATGCATGCACACACGAACGCATGCATACACACACATAATCTAAAAGGTTGAAAATGTATTTCAAATAATTTGTTTTAGCTCATTAACTATGGTCATGAAAAAAAAAACTATTGAATTATCAGTTTTATTAAAAAATAACTATACATTTCCCTATATAATACTAACTATTCGTTATGGATATTTTTTTAATATTATAAAACTAATTTTTTTGAATTAAAATAATTTTATGAAAGAACCATCCAATTATTCAAATATAGTTTTTATATTAATATTATTGATTATTTTATGAATAAATATATAAAAATTAAATGTATATTCTTTCATAATCTTTTATTGATATTAAATAAAAATTTTAAAAATCATTTTTTCATTGTTATTTTTTATAAAAGTTCATACATTATTTGTAGTTTTATTTTTTTTATACAATCTTATGAAAAATATATTTTTAAAGTATTTTTTGGAACTCTAGATTAAATTTTCAATTTAGATTGTTATAAATTTTTATTTAAGAATCAATGTATAAAAAGAATGAATCATGTTTTTTTTTAAGTAAAAAATTTATAAAAAACACAAGAAAGAATTATTTAAATACATGATTTTCATTAAAAATTATAGAATTTAGTGTTTTTTAATTCTTGATTTGATATATTTTAATAGAACCGTAACATAACTTGAATTATTACATTAGAATAATTTTATTTTATCTAACTCACGAGTGTAGTGGAAACATGAAATTTCATGTTTCACTGGTAAAAAACCAACTGTGATTAATAGGAAATTCAATAATTTCAATAAGAAATTAATGAATATTTTCGATGTACAACTGATTTCATTTCCGTATTTCAGTAACAATAACAATTTTAATTGTAATTCATATTAATTGAATAGATGATAATTAACTTACAATTCTCTATGTTGCATCAATCATATTATTATGATGTCTCGTCATTTTCAATAACAATAGCAATTCTATTTGTAATTTCTATTAATTTAATATATGATAATTAACTGACAATTTTTTATGATATTATTATCATGATGTCTTGTCTTTCTTTTTATCCGGTAAAAGACATCTTTTATTTGGATAAATATTATTTTTATTGTTTTATATGAAAATTTGATTAAACCGGATGATTTTTAAAATGGAAACATCAAACGTGCTTTTATATATATATATATATATATAACAAACTAAAGTAAAATATACATTTACTATTTATTTTACTATTTGAAATACTATTCACACACTCACAAATCACTATTCCTTTCACTATTTATATATTTTTTTAACACTTTGGTCCTCAAATTTTCTAATTTTTTTTCAATTTTAAATTTTAGTTATATTGTAATTTGATCCCATTTTGTTCTAGTGTTTTCTGTTAATTATTTTTATTATTTAAAATTTATTACTTTAATTTGTCATTTTTTTTAATTCTCTTTTGTTTTTCAATTTCAAACTTTAATTATATTGTGATTTGATCCCATTTTATTTTAGTGTTTTTGTTAATTATTTTTATTATTTAAAATTTACTATTTTAATTTATCCTTTTTTTTGTTAAATTCTCATTCAATTAATTTAAAACTATATTTACTAATAGTTTTGATTTATTTTTCTATATGTATGAATTTTGTAATAAAATTTTGGAACATGATTATTTTTTCTTTTAAAAAATAGATTTAGATCATTTTTAAATTATAGTGGCATGATTAATATATATAATTTATCTAAAATACATTTTTAGATTAAAAGTGTCTTTCAAATAATTTTTTCTCAGTTTTTTATATTATTTAAAATTTACTACATTAATTTGTCATTTTTTTAAAAAATTCTCTCTCTTTTTTTTTTTCAATTTCAAACTTTGATTATATTGTGATTTCATTTCATTTTTTTAAAATATATATTTTTAATTATTTTATTATTTTAAATTTACTACTTTAATTTATCATTTTTTAAAATTCTTATCTAATTAGTTCAGAATTATATTTACTGACAATTTTGATTTATTTTTCTATATGTATGGATTTTGAAATAAATTTTTAGAACATGATTATTATTATTTTTTTTGAAAAATAGATTTAGATACTTTTAAATTATAGTGGCATGATTAATATATATAATTTTTCTGAAATACATTTTTAGATTAAAAGTGTTTTTCAAATAAATTTTTCTTGATTTTTTTTATTATTTAAAATTTACTACATTAATTTGTCATTTTTTAAAATTCTCTTTTCTTTTTGTTTTGTTTTTTTTTTTTCAATTTCAAACTTTGATTATATTGTGATTTCATCCCATTTTGTTTTAGTTTTTGTTGTTAATTATTTTAATTATTTAAAATTTACTACTTTAATCTGTCATTTTTTTTATAAAAAAATTCTCATCCAATTAATTAAAAATTATATTTACTTACAATTTTGATTGATTTTTCTATATGTATGGATTTTGGAATAAATGTTTAGAATATGATTAGTCTTTCTTTTGAAAAATAGATTTAGATAACTTTTAAATTATAGTAGTATGATTAATATATATAATTTGTCTAAAATACATTTTTAGATTAAAAGTGTATTTCAAATAATTTTTTCTCAGTTTTTTTTAGAAAAAAACTCTAATTAATTAATTAATAGTTGAAATTCAAATGTGAAAAATAAAAAAAGGATGGTTGCTCTGTGCGTGAAGCTTGTATTCAAGGATTGGCCATTCATAATATAGAAATAAAAAAGATTTAAGAAGGAGGAAAAAAAAGAATTGACATGTTTTATTAATTTGTTTCTTCTTTATATAATCAAAATTATTCAAAATCATATATGTAATAATTTTTATTTTAGTCTATTAACTTCAAATTTAGTCAATATATTCCTTACAAATTAACTTTTTTATAGTATTTTTTGTTTTAGATCGAAAACTCTAAACTCGTTTAATATAGTTATGATGTATAAAAAAATATTGAATCGTTTTTTTTTTTAGAAATAGGCTCGTGCAACTACTACTACACTAAGCATTTATTTATTTATTTTTGAATATTTTAAAGTTAACTTATTTTAAATTAAATGATTAAAATAATATTTTGGCTTAACCACTCAATAATTCAAATTAATATTATTTTTTATTTTAATATTATTCATTCTTTTGTAAATAAATATATAAAAATTAAATTCATATTTTTTCAAAAATCAATATTCTCATCAACATTAAATAAAAAAATTTATTTGTTCAATTCTATGTAAGCTTTTAATAAATTTTTTTTAACACAATCTTATGAAATACTAAAGCTTTTTTTAAAATATTTATTTATTTAGTTTTTAGTCAATAATCCATGGATTAACAAAGATGAATCCTTTTTCTAAAGAAAAAATTATGAAAAATATAAATAAGAAATAGTTAAATATAAAATTTTTTATTAAATAATATTTTATATTTTATATTTTATATATTTTTATAAATTTACATTATAAAATAGTTATCAAAATAAAATGATTTTTTAAAATTATTTTATATATTTTATTTAATGCGTCGAGTAGTGCGGACAAAAAAAACTAATATATATCAAACAAAAATTTATAGTGACCAAAGCTACTCGTTATAAAGATTTTATAGAAACTAAGGTTAAGGTTGTCTCGTCCTGTTGTGTACCATACAAAAATCAGGCAGCGTGAGAGACGCAAGCACGGTGCTGCCGTGCTGATACATTTGGTTCTCTCTCTTTCATGGTTACTATAAGAAACCACAGTTCTCGTCAACTGGATCTCTCTCGAAAGAGAACATTCTTTTGCATTATATTTTACAAATTTCCACCATGGACTTGAACATTAAAACGACGTTTGCTTTTGAAAGGGTACAGTTCTCATTTATCATTTCTGGGTTTATGCTTCATCCTTATGATTCTTTTTCTTTTTGGTTTTCATGGGCTTTCTTTTAATATCAGTCAAAAACCGGCAAATGGAGTAATGGGGTTTGTCCTTTTATCCCTGTAATGTTCAGTTTTATAGAGATTGATGTAGTAGTAATGTTAATCAGTAGATGTGATTAGAAGTAATAATTGTGGGGCAATTGATTCTTGCTCTTGTTTGTGCGGGTTTGGATGTTTAAAGAAATTTGTAACTTTTAGGCCAGAGTTAGAGATGGCTTGTGCTCATGAGTAATGACATTTTTGGGTGTGTATCACCATTCATCTGAATTGTCAGGCTGCAGATTATTTGCTAGGCTCAGTCAAAGTTTCAGTCTTTCTCTTTTTGATTATTTTTAGCTACTTAAAGAATTAGTTTTGTTGCATTCATTATCAATTGAAGTTTGTTATTCTCTTTCATGGGAGCTGATGTGCATTTTAATTGATGAACTAATAGGGTTTATACATGTTATATGCCGATTTACTTTTCAGGTCTTTCCTTAACCTGGAAATGCACGAAGAACATGGATAACAGTGTTAACTGTGGCTGTATTTCCTTTGACTAAATCAGATGTCATAGATTGGCAAATTAAAACCATTTAATGAGTACTGGCGCACCACCCGTCTACGGAATTCTGATCTGGCACCAAAAGAACCAAAGTTGATATCCAATGGAAGGATTCCGAGGTACATATCCACCAGCTGGTGTTCCAGAACCTGCTGTTTCTCATGGAAATGGAAGGCATAATTTAGATGGTCATGGTAATCGTGGGTCTGGCTTTCCAGGCCTAAAGAAGAGAGGACATGGTCACGGAAGTCGTTCATGGATAAAGATTGATCAGGATGGGAACTCAAAGATTTTGGAGCTTGACAAGGCCACCATAATGAGACATTGTTCTTTGCCTTCCAGGGATCTACGCCTTTTGGACCCTCTTTTTATTTATCCGTATACGATTTTAGGTCGGGAGAAGGCTATTGTGGCCAGTCTTGAACAGATTAGATGTATAATCACAGCGGACGAGGTTATCCTGATGAATTCCCTAGATGGATGTGTTGTCCAGTACATTTCAGAATTCTGCAAACGTCTTCAAACAAATCGAGAACAAGCAGGTAATTTAGAACAGTTGTTTTAATGGCCTCAAAACTTTTATTTGATTGCTTTGTTGTAGGTAGATAGATGGAGTTTAAAAATTGAATGCCTTTTGGTTAATTGGGCTTGAAACTTTTGTTGCAATATACCGAGCTTCCCGCTTATAAAAGTAGTTTGCTCACTTCACTTTTTTTCAAACTGATTTCTGTAACCCTCAATTATGACTATTTTTTAGTTGAAGTTTATAAAGTCATGCTACACGAGTTGCTTACAATTACTGCTGATTTGATCCAGAGGACTTGCCATTTGAATTCAGAGCTCTGGAATTGGCTTTGGAACTAACTTGCATGTCTCTTGATGCTCAGGTATGCTAACATGTATCACTAACCATTAAGGAAATTGTTTCCATCTTGTTCTGAATTTGTTGTCTGCCGAACCACTTGCACTCACAACCATAAGATGACCTGGATGAATTAAGTAAAGCGCTTAAGCCTTTAGAAATTAGCGATCTCACTGTGGAAAAGGAAGCGGGTCAGGGAATTTGTACCAAAAGGTAATCTTGTGAAGGTAATCCATGTACAGTGATTCTTTTTCACTTCCCAAGATGACTTTCCACATTGATATGGATTTGGAAATCTTAAAATCAATTTCAATTTTTTAGAATCAAATATTGTTTTATTTGGAAGGTTGAGGTGCTTGTGATGCAAATGTCGAACTTGATATTCCCTCTCTGCTTCAAACTTATTGATGTTGGAAAAATAGAATTGAAAAGTGCAGTCAACCTTTTCTGGTTTGACGCTTTCAAATGATACCCTGAGCCTTGAAGACAGTTTTTTGTTGCTGGTCTGACACTTTTGACTTTTACCCTGAGAGAGGGGCTGATATCATTTACTATTACCTTAAGGGTGCATCGTTTTTTTTCCTTCTGTCCTAGCAGTACGGAGACTCAGCTTGCCTTTTATAAATACTCTGGTTAAACCATCATTGTTCTGATTGCATGACCAACCATGGTAGCTGTTTGGTGCATACAATTACATTTCCTTGCATGATCAACGGATGCTGAGAAAGTTGGTTCACAATTTCTCACGAGGCCTAATTGAATTCCTCTCTGTTATAGTATTTACTAGAATAAATACATATCCTTGTGAAAGAAAGAAAAATAGTTTAGGGGACTTAAGTATGTAAACTGTCTCTCAGTGCTTCAAACTTGGTATCTGCATGTTTGGTTGTTGCTTGTCACATGTTGTTGAACCAAATGCAGTTCTAGAAACTGTGTAGATAAGAATTGGTAGCCATTTAAGAATAGTTTTTTATTTGTAACGTGGAATGAAAACTCTTGGGCTGCCAGTGCACAGGGTTGAGTCTGGAGACTGGTCACTTTATGTAAATGTTTTAATGCTCAGGATAATTTTTCAGAACACCTCTCTCCCTGGAATCTGCTCAGACCGACCAGGGTAGTTAACGGGCTTTCGTACACACAATAAAAGCAATAGACCAACTGGCAGTTTTAAATTGAAAAATTCGGGGTAACTCCCTCATATTAAGGAGTTTTGGTTTTGATAGGTAAAAGAACTGGAATTGGAGGTATATCCTGTATTGGATGAACTAGCAACATCTATTAATACTTTTAATCTGGAACGTGTTCGTAGACTTAAGGGCCACCTCCTTGCATTGACTCAGCGAGTTCAGAAGGTAAAAGTAATCCTTTTCTTTTCCCCTTTTCTCTTGTTGTTCTATTGTCTGCTGCTGCTTTGTTCCTCCATATTTTAGCTTTTAGATTGAAATTGTAGGTCCACGATGAGATAGAACATCTCATGGATGATGATGGTGACATGGCTGAGATGTATCTGACAGAGAAAAAACAGAGGTTGGAAGCTTATGCTCTAGGTGATATATATTTTCAAAACGATAACCCAAGTGAGATCAAAGTGGTTTCAAAATCTGCTCCTGTTTCGCCATTGAGGTCAATTAGTGGAGCCCAGAAATTGCAGAGAGCATTTAGCAATATAAGTCCAAGCAAACATGGAAGCCTGATGAGTTCATCCAGTAATGGCGAGAATATTGACCAGCTTGAAATGTTACTCGAAGCGTACTTTGTTGCTATCGACAACACTCTTAGCAAGCTGTTCACGGTGTGTTCCTGCATAACATGTTTTGAACTTATCTAGATATATGTGTATGAGTTGCTGCGATTGGATGGTGCTTACTAATTGATATCCTACAATTGACTGAGGTATGAGGCATGCTTGACTGAAAATCGATTAAAACCAACCAATATTGTGATTGTGACAATCTACCAATTAATGCAGGATGCCCCTCTTGGCACCAAGCCAAAACACAAAACCGGCCTACGCTGCTTAGAAATTTTATAGGTTCTAGGAAAAAAAAAAAAAAATGGTGTCCTTACATATGAAGAATTCTTAAGAGTCTAAATTGGTTTCTGCATAGTGATGTGCTAGAATGTTTACTGCATGATTATATTAATTGTTCTATGAATATCGCAGCTCAAAGAATACATAGATGATACTGAAGATTTGATCAACATCAAACTGGTAAGGGATAATGATGACTGTTAACTTTTCTGAAGCTTTTTTTTTTCTATTAAAAAAAAAACACGAGATATAATTTCTCTCCCATATATTTACAGGCCAATGTCCAGAACCAACTGATTCAATTTGAGTTGCTTCTTACTGCAGCTACCTTTGTGGCTACATTATTTGCTGTTGTGACGGGAATATTTGGGATGAACTTTGTAGCCTCAATTTTTGATTACCCATCTGCATTTAATTGGGTTCTGATTATAACTGGTCTAGCATGTGTATTCTTGTATTTATCTTTCTTGTTTTATTTTAGATACAAGAAGGTCTTTCCATTGTAAACTTTAGTTTAGATCGAAAGCTGCTCCAATGACCACAAGCACTTGATTTCTTTCGTAGAAACCCATGATTCAATTTGCTTTCCTTCCCTCACTCTGTGGGGTTCGATTATGCGCTTCCAAGATTGCAGGGGCATGCTCTATGATGGTATGTGCGCATGAGGTTCTCTACTTAGGTATGAGTAAAATCTTGCTGAAGTCCATAGTTTCGGAGGTCCTTATCAATGTGATATAAGGATCCCATCTTCTGGCGGTTAGGCATCACTTGCGTAGCTGCCTTATAAATGCCAACATCTGGCCAAGGGAAAGCACACTGAGCCTGGTCTGCAAGTGGCTTTATTATGTGATTTGATCTAAGGATCATCTCTGCTATTTCTGTAACTGGGATAATGTACTAAGGCCTGTACTCTTGTTACATTATAGGTTTTAGCGTCAGGCAAAACTTCATGTACCTCATCAAATGCAGGCTATCATATCACAAGTAACTTTGCTTAAAATGTCCATTTCTACAGTAGAGCTATTCTCCTTTGAACTATAATGTTAGAAAAAACCTAGATGCGTAGGCTTTTTATATTGTAACCGCATAGGCTCTACTTTCATGGGAACGCAAGCAACTCCCTCCCATTATTTTAAGGACATTTTCTCAGTGAATTTATCTAATAGCAATGGGTGGCATTGGAATTTCCGTGATTAAATTGTTTTCCTCCTGTGTTGGATTCGGCCAAAGTAGGGAGAGTATAGAGCATGTTCAAGGGCAAAACTGGACATTTTTCTTTGCAATGATAATCGTGATACTCTATCTCTGTTGGATCATCATCCATCAAGGACAACATTGATTGAGCATTCAAGAGTACACCGTTTACCTCGCGTTCTTCATCAGCTTTACCTGATGTAGCAAATTGCTGGATAGATGACGATTCTACTTCACTGTGCAAGTTCATTATGTTAGAAAACAAATCAAGCAAAAGAATAAAATAGAAAAATAAGAATAATCATACAATATAAAGATTTTTTATGATTTAGTAATGATGCTTATTCCACAACTGTATTAGGATTTTCTATTAGGTTTTGTTAAGTGACCATTATAAATAAAAATGATGTTGTCTCTATTTATAATATGGACAACTAGGGTTATAAGAAAAAAGACTTAATGTATCTATACATCTAGCTCAATATTTTGTAAACCTTTTGAAAACTTCGTGTCCGAACCTTTGCAAGAGGCGCTGCCCCCTTGACCTCTGCTCTCTAACCGGCACTAATCGGCAAGCGAGACTATCGTGCTGGATCTATATAACGTCTTACGCTATGAGTCCCTATCCACATCAGTCTCTATAACTGAACACATCTTAGTGCTTGTGCTCTCTAACTCCAAGACATGCAACCTCTTCTGACTATTTTCCAGTGCATACTCGAGTTCCATGATGCGTACTACCAGCCTTGATTGAATTATCTCATGAAGACGCAAGCTGAGCTCCTTAGATGATACGGCATAGTTTGCTGTTTCAGTGGGATCAGTAGAAATTCGACTTGGGTCATCGTCTGAATCGGATAAATGGTCAGGTTTCTTATAGCCCTCGTTTGGGCCCAGGTCTCCCTCAACATCAAGCTCGAAGTTCGGATTCATCTGCAAACAACAACGCAAAGCAAAGCATCCTTCATGCAGTAAGGAAAATGTTTAAGTATAATAGACATGCAAAAGAAACTGCAACTTTGTTAAACCAAGTATTGAATCATAACAGAAAAACTATAGCTAGGTCTTGCCTTCATATCCCTCTTTTAAACTAGATCCGCCGAGTCTAATAAAATTACCTCAACTAAATCGAGCATTCTCTCTAAACTAGATGATTTCATGTTTAGCTCCAACCTCTCTAGTTCAGCTTCAAGCTCTGCCTCAATTTTACTCATTGCCTCAGAGTTCTCTGCCTTCTCATCATCTGGCTCTCTGCCATCAAATTTTATAGACTTGTCCAATTCTTTTTTCGTCGAAACTTCACTTGATGCGCTGCTGCTTTGCTTTTCAGTGGTTTCCTGGGGGTCAGAATCCTCGCTTGCAAGTTCCTTCACTGTTAGCAGATCTTTCATTTTAAGTTCCTCATGTAAATCTTGGACTAAGTTCTCATTCTGCTTCAACAATTCGTTTAAGTAGTCCACTTCTCTTTTATTAGCGGCAACGTTAGACATTATTCCAACAGTTATACCAAGGAAGAAAGGAAGCATTTCATCAGAAGTTCCTGACAGAAAGCAAAATCCGAAGTTTAAAAAAGTAAACTTAAACTTCAAAGGAAGATATTCAGTAGTATAATCAACATTTGAACCTCAAAAAAACCAAAATCAATGGAACAGAAAATATCAGCAATGCATAATGTATAGCAAACTCATAAAGAACATGTGAAAAAAAAAAAAAACACAACCTTGTGGATAAAACAGTCCACCAGATACCCTTCTCCTTGACTTGCTCAATCCCCTTGACGGTCCCATATCAAAATTCTGTATCTGTTTTCTCGTAAGCATCAATGCTCCCTTTTCTTTTTCTACCTGCATCTCTTGTCCAAAATCATGGCTACCTCCGATTATCCAGCTTCCAATTGTCAATGGCCGTGCCATTTCTGTGGATGAAGACGGTGAATAGTATTCTTCAAATCCAGGGTGTCCTCCATACAATTCAGGAGTGAGGATACTATCTGAAGAATCAAGGGATTTATTGATATACCCTCTAGACCTACTCCCAAGTTGCCTGTCCGCCGTAAATCTTCGAAGGGAACTAACTTCTCCTATGACAGAATCAGGCAACAATTCACTAGATAGATCAAAAAAGTAACCCATCCCACAAGGCCGATGACTCTGTAACTGTACTTCGCATTTAGTAGCACTATTACTCGGAACTCCAATAAAATCTCTACCGAATGATCCATCTGTTTCTGAATGCTTGCAGACACCTAATCTGCAACAAGGGCAAGTTTGCTCCCGTATTCGTTGCAGCAAATTCCAGGACTGGGATTGGCTGTGAAAATAATCTAAAGAAAATGATTCCAATGCGCTTTCTTTTAACCTTCTTGAAGAGTTCTTAAAGTAATTAGCTTTGACTGCATATCCCGCACCAGCAGCTACTGCTACTACCCATAAATCCATAACCAGCCTTTCTCTTAACGAAAAAACTAATCAACAATAGACTCCAACAACAACAACCAAGTTAGGATCTAGAAGAAAAACCAAAGAATAACAAGTAGGCAGAATTTTCGAGGGAACAAAAGCCCAACGGAAGAAGAAACTGAACAGGCATGCTTGAATCTAATCTGGACCAGTTTAATACAAGATGAAGGCATCAACACAAAAAGAAAAAAGAGTTTGACAAAAAATGTTGTTAAACACTGCAGCTTCAGCTGGGGAATAGAATATTGCATAACATAATTTTGCCCCATGACAAAACTTTGAGAAGCACTTTTTTGGCGCCATGTGGTTCCGCTTCTGGAATTCCAAGCCACTTAAATTTTTATTACCCAAGAAAAAACAAATACACGTAAACTTTTGATTGGTATCTTCCTGTTCTCCATCTACTAACCAACAAAAAGAAGGTGGCCTGGAATGTTCAATACCCCATTGGAGAAAATGGTATGGGCAGGTCATATTATGCACTGAAACAGTAGGTCATTTTATCATATATTCTACCAACAAATGCCACCAGTAACTTAGACTGGTTAGGAACGCCAGACAGTACTTAATTTGAGCCAAAAAAATGTTGAGACACTGTTATCCATAAACAAATATAGACTGGATAATGCTCATTGGCGAAATTGTTGTGCGCAATTTTCACTCCGTCTGTAAATGAAATCACAAGTCGTTTCAAGGGCATTTTTCTTGTAGCTCTTTTTTCTTTCCTTCGGCTGGGAATATATACGGGTTCTCAAGGTTAGGGCTAAGGAGAGGATACTTTCAAAGCGAAACCGCAAGTTTCTGCCATAAAAATTCTTTAAGCAGCATGAAAGAAACCCTAAAAACCCAGTACTCTTAAGTTGAATTGAATTCTCATTAGTATTTACGAAAAATTTCAGTTGAAAATACCAAAAAAAATATATATATATAATATATATATATATATAAAATTAAAGGGATTTTTGGTTAATGCTAACATCAAATTAAAGGAAAGGACAGTATTTGTCAAAAACATGATAGATCAACGATAAAATTGACCAAATTGGCAGAGTTTGTAATGTGCCGCAACCTCAATGGTTCGTGGACGAAAAAAATGCCAATAAACATTTTTTTTCTCCTTCGGCCGGGAAGGCATTTGAGTTCTCAAGGTTAGGACTTCGAAGGATACTTTCAAGGCGAGACAGCAAGTTTCCTGCATAAATTAACTTTACGCAGCATGAAAGAAACTCTAAAAACCTAGGCATTGATTTTGACCTCTAGAGCAGAGTTCTGTTTTGCCTTTTCCATTTAGCCAATCTCAATTTGCCATTGCTTGGGCAGAGAAAAAGGAAGAAAGAAATGGGATTTCTTTAAAACCTTATACACCTTAAATTGATTGGAGCAAATTTTATAACGACACCATAATTCAATAAGGCATACACTATGCATAGAAGTTTCTGTTTATATACACATCAAGATGCCAGTGTCGTACTGGGACAGCTACCCACAGTGCAGGCCAAGATGTCCCTATAATCGCGGGATATAGTGAAGGAGTCATAAACCTTTCCATCCCTGCTCTTCTTGTACTCAAGCAACAGATTGGAATGGTCAAAAGCTGTGAGTTTTACAAAGCCATGATCATAGTCTTTATATAAACTCCATGCTGTTTGGAGGGTGGTGAATGGTGAAAGGCTTGCTCCTGCACCCCCAGCAGCCACATGTATTGTCCCATTTAGGGTGCCTTTATAGTAGTGCTTCTCTTTACTTGTGCATATATTCTGTAGCAACGAGATTTGGATATTTCATTGTTAGCAAAAGAGTGTAGAATCAAAATCTTGGTTGCAGGTTTGAACCTATGCGAGCTGATGAACATGCAGGATATTGAAGAGGACACTTGGGTTATGGAAAAAGATATTGTTTATTGCAAAAACAAGATTGTATTTGCCTATAACTAGAAGCAGTTCAACTTCGAAAGGGTGTTTGCCTGACTTTCCATGATTTTAGGCTTCAGAATAAGGGTAGCAGCATATAGAATAGGTATGTATTGTGAAAGTTTGGTGTATCTAAAGGTAAAAATGAAATAAATAATTGGCAATTTTCTGAATAATTTTAGCTAAATTCCCAAAATTAGTTCAAATGTGGCTAATCAACAACAAAAGAATTTACAGCTGAAGCTGCATAAGTTCAGTAATACCTGATATATGGGGCATGTCCTTTCATAGTTGTGCACATGACCAAACATTGCAATGTCAACCTTGTATTTCTGCCACAGTTTTTGAAGGCTTTCCCTTCCCATCGGTTCCTCAAATGATCCTTCAATAGCATAAGAGATATCAGAAGAATACCCTAGTACTCGATGTGCAAGAAAAATCAGCCACGGTTGCTTTTGTCTATCAACTGATGCAAGGCAATGCTCAATAAACTTGTACTGCTCTGTTCCCTCCCTCCAATCATGTTCAGTATCTGCTACGCAGAACCGGAACATGCCATAGTCAGTGGAATACCTGGTTGAAGAAAATGACAACTATTCAATATCAGATCTGTAGGAAAACAATTAAAATACCCAAACACAATATTTATTTTATTGATTCAAAAACCAGCACTAACTGTGCACACACTAATTTTGTTTAAAACCCAAGCTGTAACTTGGCTCACTCAATACAACTTTTTCTAAACCACACAGGGCACTAGGGTTATTTTTGTCAACCATTAGGTACACCTAAAACAAGACGAAGCTCCTACATTTATAGAAGTTATACGCCAACTGATAACAAGTCCAACATTAACAAGGAAGCCACCTTTAAGGACTAGTAACAAGTCCTGTGTCTAGTAGGAAACCAATACCTACTAGGAGATCAAATCCTCAAGACATAAGGATTGAAGGTTAATAACTTGGTTTATTTCCTACAAGATTAGATCCCTCTGGCTCTATCAAATCAGCATACTTCTCTGCATCAAGGAGAGCTGGCAGCAGTGTTAGAAGTTTACATACTGGAGCATCCTAAAATTTTTAACAATAAATTTGAGCAGTGCAGAAGAAAAATGCGTTTCACTTCTGCAATTCACACTTGGACTAGTAGCCAAAGAGACAGTTGATCCATTGATTGTTAAATAGAAAATTATTCACAAATCATAATATTACGTGATCAGAACATGGATTACAAGTAGCATGGCATGGCATGTTTACTGTAAAAAATAAACAGAAAGCTGTTTCTATGCTTAAAGCTAAAGGTGTGAACATAAAAAAGACACCATTAATATTCAGATAATTTGGAAAACTATATATAACAAGATAATAGCGTTTCCAAATAAAAATGTTAACAGATTGCAAAATCTCCATACCAGAACTTTGCCCTGTTCTCTGTTGGTGTATAGAACATAGTCTGAGCCAGCACACCACATTCTCCTCCAGAATCCATGTTCCCGTAGAAGGATCCAGTCCCTGGCCAGTCACGCTCATGGTTCCCACTGTAAAGAAAAATTAGCAATTGTCAGTCTTGTAACTTGAATTCATGATTTAGCAATGTCAAGTTAACTTATAGCAGACCTAGCGATCATGTAAGGGATAGATGATGCAATTGGCTCAATTTGTGCAGTAAATTGGTCCCATTGTGACAAATATCCATTTGCATAACATATATCTCCAATGTGGAAGACTATATCAATGTTCTTCAGGTCTTGAACGAGTTGCTTAGTAGTGTTTAGAGAGCCAGGCTGAAAATCATTATATTCACTGGAACCATCAACTTCACCCTGCAAGGTTAGATTTTTAGAAAAATACCCTTTAGACTTAATAAATATTAACTTGATAAAGGGACTACAGTTCATAAACTTTAAATCTTAAGGCCAAAAGGTTTGTAATACTAAATGAAAGTACGACAACATAATAAATATCAGGATAGTGAGCTTGAAGACAATGATTAGACTTAGGACATATGAAATTTGTTTCCATGCTATCAAGGGAGTTCAGACCTTTCCCATGTCACCAAAAATGACTACACGTTGTACAGAATCTTGCCCAGGATAAGGAGGTGCTTTAAACTGGTATTCTTTACTCCATATATATGAGCCATTGAACAATCTATGTCCCAGCTTGTATGCATACCTGCATAATCAACAAGAAACATGTAGGTTGAGTGACATGTAATACTAAAGGTATGACATGTTATTACCTAGGATACATTCAAATAAATCAGACTATTTGCCCATTTTTTTTTCTACTTCAAATTGAATTTGAGGGAAACAATAATTTGAATCTGCAAGTTCTCAGAGAAAACATTAACAATTTGCATGGAATCCTGAAAATACCAAATAAGGCATTAAGAACACTAAATATAAAATATCTATCATTCTTCTAATAAACTTCGAGGAAAAATTCTAAATTTCATGAGAAATTGAAACCAGGAATCAAGAAAATATGCTAGCACAACATACACTCTGTTGGGCCACAACTCCTTCAAAAAGCTAGTATGTATATACCCAGGATCACGCCAGCCCACCGTCCTTGCTGGTGCACCTGTGGATAGGCAAAAGTTGTTGGGGATCTTAACAGTATCCTTTAAGAAGATTTGACCATAAAATATGTATTAGATAAACAGCAGATATGAATCTTTTATGTCCAGGAACATGTTAAAAAAATCACTTGTAAAGTATGCCACCATTGGAAAACTTCAATTTTCACCTTTTTTCAGGTTCCAGACCTTCATTTTATTCCAAAACATATCTTAGAAAAGGGAACTCCAAAAAATTGAAGAATTACCCACCACACATGCTGCTACGTTCAAAAGTCAAGGTCCCAGCTGGGGAATGGATAGAATCTCCTCCTTTAGGACTCCATTCAACAAAAGGTTCAGCTTCAGTGATCCCGTATCCACTAGTCCATGTTACAGTCATCTGATTATGATGAAGAAAACTATATTATCTCCTTGAAAAACAGCTAGGCCCAACTAAAGTGAACAAAATAACATCTGGGAAATAAATATTTAAAGAAAAAAATATAAAAGCAATTAGGATGCCTAAAAGGAAAGAAGCTTATGTAAACAGGAACGATAATATGAAACAAAATTTTGTAGTGTTCATGCTCAATACATGCATGAGGGCAACCACATTCTCAATCATTATGTAACATGCATAGATCTTTGAGGGGAGACTGGATTTACTTCATCCCATGTTTCTCCTTGTGCTAAGCGCGGATAGGCCGGCGCATTTGGATTTGAGAAAGTAACTTTATTCGAGACAGCAACCAACTTTGGCTGTTATACAAGAAAACAAAAGGAGTGAACCACAAATCACAGCAGTGTTTAACTAATGGTACCCAAAATGTAACAGAAAATAGATGATATGATCAAAACAGCCATACCTCTTGTGAAGGATTTTCATATTAAGTAACAATTAACAGAACGAAAGGGGAGAACACAGAAGATTCACATAGATGCAAACGATTTTTTTTTTTTTTTGGCTGTATATGATATATCTCTATATCACAATTCTTGACCATCCAAGGGTCGAACTTTTATACAGAAATATAGTGATAGGAGAATTTAACAATTTAATAGATACCAATCATTGGTTGTGGACAAGCTGAGTTTGTGAGACAAATCTGAACCACAAAGATTGTAAGGAATTTTGAGCTTTACACTTAAAAAACCACCAGTAAATAGCGCAAAAGAGAAGTCCGATCTTTGGTTGATCAATTGCAGCTTCAATGATCCTTTTCCGGTATCTCTATACTGTGGAGTAGAGTAGTTGGCATATTGAAACTGTCAATAGAAGTAAGACAGTTAAAATTAAGAACTGTCTGTAATCTTATTCCATTAGGAAGAAGAGCATGGAATGGAATTGAAAACAATGCTTCAATAGACCTTAATAGGTGCAGAACACAGTAGTGGAGGATAAACTCTTGGATTTTCTGAGGAGCAGGTGGAAGCACTGAAATTAAAAATAAGTACAACGTTAGACCAATTTAGTTCAGTTCTTATTATTGAAGAAAACAGAAACGTCGCACACATATACAGATTTTATGTGACAGGAATGCACGATATATTGGCAGAAGATATGCTAATAAGTACCTGAAATTGGCAGGAGAAAATACTCCAATCCAATCATCAACTGATGGGATTGGAGTACTGTACTCCACGGTCACCCACTGTGAATTCTGTCCCTGAAATAGGAAGAAAGGAAGACACCTTAAACTTTAAAACACACCGGATTCTTGAAATGTTTACGTCATCAGCATCCCAAAATGGCCCTCAATCTTCAAATGGATAAAGAATTAACGACCACGAAGCGATATAATTAATGATTAAAAGAAAGAGACACCACAACCACAGCAGTGGTAGTAAAAAAGCTTACAGTAGTCAGTCCAAGAATGGAAGGAGAGGCTTTAACATAAGCAAGATGATTAAGGGCCAAAGTTGCTTCATGAATAGCGATTCTTGAGAGAGGATGATCTCCATGTGAGCTTGTCTCTAGAAGATTTGTAAGTATTAATAGAGATGGAATTAAGATCATCAACCTTAATCCTCTCATCATTCCATCTAGTGATTAGAAAGTACTGAACCCGACACAAACAAAAGAAAGCAAAAGGTTAAAACAAAATATATAAATATCTTCAAACTCGGAAAATAAAAGGACATTGAGTTAACTGAAACGGATAAGGGAGTACTAAAATTAACTGATATACCTAACTGCAAGATAACTGAATTACAGTAACGTTTAGGAATTAGTGAGCCTTTTTCTTTCTCTTTTTCAGGCAGCAAGTGGAAGAAGAAGATTACTTAGTAACTAGCTAGCTAAGCCAATAATAAGCAGAAACGCACATAATCTACCATGGAATCTTCGACAGGAAGATCCTACTTCACCAAATATTATGGTTATGGCCGGGCCTATGGGCTTGTGGGCTACGTTATTAGTTCCATACTAGACATTGACCCAGTTTTCTAACTGGATCATCGGATTGGTGGATCAAGCAGTGAAAGCACAGGGTCAATTAACAAATTTAAGAAATATTCAAGTTTATTTAATAAATGATTTTCTGAAGTTTCAATGTTCATTCCAATTAGGGTGTTTGTCCGGTAATTTGATTCGGTTTTAAATTTTTTAATCGATTTTCGATTAACCGAATTATCTAAAAAAATCAAAATCGAACCGAATTATTATTCGATTTTTCGATTTTTCGATTTGGTTTTGAAATATATTAAGTTTTTTGTTCGATAATTCGATTTTCACCTATAATTATTACTCAATATTATATATTAATTCGATCAATAACTTAATTAGAATTGTATCAATTTCATGATCGCAAGAGGAAAAGTTGAATATATCAGTATCTCCTCAATGGGGCGTGCTACCAATGCAAACAATGTACAGTAGCAATGGATAGGACTCGTATGCTTGGGCATTCAAAGCCCTGCTTGATACTTTTTACCTTGTCATTCACAATCCAGGAGTTGAAGATCCTGCTTGCGGTCCACTTATTGATTCAGTGGCAATTAAAGCTTTATATCCTCCTAAACCAACAAATAGTAAGTTCTTTATAAATTTTATACTCGTTAAACTTATTAGTAGATGGCATCAATCCCCAAAGAAGAACAAAAAGTTATAGGAAAAGTTGCTGGTGTGTAAGTTATTGAGTCCTCATTGAATTATGTCCCTCAGTGCCACTGCAATGAGAGACCTACAGGCTACGGGACACTCTCTCAACTTGATATTTAAGCCTTGGGAAGTGAGTATCACGGCACCGAAGGACTATCTCCCCAGGGCAGTTGCCCCGTAATATTTATGGACTGTCCTCCAAGTATAAAAAATTGATACCACTTGTTTTCTAGTCCTTTTCACCAGAGGACAAGCGCAGGCAAATGTTTAACTGATTTTATCAATCCTGCTAAATTTTAAGTTTGTGAATTCACAATCAGATCATGAATTTATTTTTTTTTATAATTCGGTTATTCGGTTAACCGGTTTTTTTTTTTTTGAAAAACCAAAATCAAAATCGAAAACTCGGTTATATCGGTTTGGCTTTTTTTTTATTTCTAAAAAAAACTGCACCGAAATTAATATTTTGGTACGAGTTCGGTTCGGTTTGGTTTTTAGTTTTTACTGAATAGTGAACACCTCTAATTCCAATTAGATATTAGATAGCTGGTTCCCAATAATACACCACAAGTCCGAAAGAATAAAATTATTTAAAAAATTTTTAATTAAATTTTTATTTAATTATTTTTTTAATACTTTTCATAAATTTTCTATTTTAAAAAACATAATGTATTCTTCTTTATATATTGATTTTTAAATAAAAAATTATAATAATTTAAACTAAAATATTAATCATGAATTAAAAAAACCTTTAAAAATATATTTTTTCATAATATTGTATTTCAAAAATAAATTTATAATTAATTGATAGACTTGCATAAAAATTAAAAAACGAAAAAAAAATTATTCTTATTTAATACCGATGAAAATATTAATTTTTAAAGTTATCTAAGCAATGCTCAAGGTCGAATAGAATAAAATCATTTTAAAATTTTATAATTTTTTTCCTTAATTTTGTTATTTGATTATTATTTTTTTCATAAAATTTCTATTTAAAAAAAACATGATTTATTCTTCTTTATTTATTGATTCTTAAATAAAAAATTGTAATAATTTAAACTAAAATGCTAATTAAAGATTAAAAAAATATTTTTAAAATATTTTTTTATAAGAATATGTCCAAAAAATAAAATTATAATTAATGTATAGACTTTTATAAAAATCAACTAATGCAAAAATTAATTTTATTCTTATTTAACATTGATGGAAAGATATTTTAAAAAAGTATATACGTTTGATCTATATATATTTATTTATAAAATAATCAATAATTTTAGTATAAAAAACTGTATTTGGATAATTGGTTGGTTTCTTTAAAAATTATTTTAATTATTTTATTTTAAATAAATAGGTTCTATAATTTTTTTTAAAAAATATTTATATAAAATAATTTATATTATGTGTGAAGATGTAAAGTTGATTTTCAATAAAAACGACAATTCAATAGTTTTTTATATACTTTTTGACTATATTTAGTGACCTAAAAGAAATTATCGAAAATATAATTTTAACATTTTTAAATTAAAATAATTATATATTTATATATATGCAACTATCATTTAAAAATTTTAAGAATTCATATATATAATACACCAATTTATTTTTAAAAAAGAAAAAAACAATCATGTTTTAAAATTTTATTCTAAAAGTCATAAGTAGAGAAAAATAAATTATATTTATTAATAAATAAATTTTTGTATAAAAAAACATTAATTGGATAAGAATTTTCATAAGAAATGATAAATTCAAAGAATAAATTTTAAATATTAAAAATGATATAAGCTAATATATATATATATATATATATATATATAATCCTTAGTACACTGTATGAAAAACACAAATAATAAGGGTTTGATGTTCAATAATTTTTACCTAAAAACTCTTAATTTAAAAAAGATCCCAAGAATCACTAGACCGTGAACCTAGGCATAGAGTACCGTACCAGGCCTGTGCCAGCCTAGGCAAAAAATAAAATTTTGGTTTGAATTTCGGCGACCTCTATAATTTTCGATGACTGTGATTTCTTCAAAAAAGTAGCTAGAAAATCGGGTTTGTTAATTTTGGCCTCCCTAAACCAAATTCAGCCTCATTTTGGTATGGATAATAGTTCATTGATTTGGTAATTTTTTTTGTTATTTGAATAATTTATTGGTTTCTTTCAAAATTTGTTTTAATTATTTTATTTTAAATAAGTTAGTTATATAATATTAAAAAATTATTCATAGCAAATAATTTGTATCGTGGGTAAAGATGTAAATTTAATTTTTAATAAAAAAGATGACTCAATAGTTTTTTATATACTTCTTGACCACACTTGGTGTGCTGAAACAAATTATCTAAAATATAATTTTAATCTTTTAAATTATATATATATATATATATATATATATATGCAACTATCATTTAAAAATTATAAGAATTCAAGATATATATTTTATAAATTTATTTTTAAAAAAATTAAAAAAATCATGTTTTAAAATTTTATTCTAAAATTCATACATAGATAAAAATAAATTATATTTATCAGTAAATAAAAGTTTATATAAAAAATATTAATTGGATAAGAATTTTTATAAGAAATGATAAATTTAAAAGAATAAATTTTAAATAATAAGAATAATATAACCTAAAACATATGTTAATTTTAATATATATATATATATATATATATATATATATATTATCCTTGAGACGCTGCGTGAAAAATACAAATAATAACTTTTAATGTTCAGTAATTTTTTTCTAAAAAAATATATATTTATTTTATTTTATTTTTAATAAATTGGTTTTATAATGTTAAAAAATATTCATAACAATAATTTGTATTATGTGTGAAGATGTAAAGTTAATTTTTAATAAAAAATACGATTCCATATTTTTTAATATACGTCTTGACCACACTTAGTAGACTGAAACAAATTATTTAAAATATAATTTTAAATTTTTAAATTAAAATAATCAAATATTTATATATATCTAATTATCATTTAAAAATTCTAAGAATACATGAAACATATTATAATAATTTATTTAAAAAATAAAAAGAAAAAAATAATCATGTTTTAAAATTTTATTATAAAATTCATACATAGAGAAAAATAAATTATATTTATCGAGTAAATAAAATTTTGGTTAAAAAAATATTAACTGGATAAGAATTTTTAGAAGAAATGATAAATTCAAAGAATAAATTTTAAATAATAAAAATAATATAAGCTAAAATATATATTAATTTTAGAATATAAAAAAATAAACACACATATAAATTATCCTCGCTATGCTACACGAAAAAAAACAAATAATAACGTTGAGTAATTTTTTCCTAAAAATTCTGAACTTGGAAAAAAAACCCAAGAACTAGGCCCAAGTGCCTGGGGGACCAGGCCGCGAAACTCGGCCTAGAGTAACGAACCAGGCCTAAATGGGCCTAGGCCGAAAAAAATTCTGTTTTGAATCCTGGCGAACTCTGTAATTTTTGGTGACTTTAACAATCGGTATCAGAGCTCGGTTATAATGAACAATTCATCACTAAATCATGGTTAATAATCTCAAATTGAAAGCACTAGAAGAAAATAATAGAAGGCGGGAGGAGCAGATCCAAAGGCTTTGCCAGGAGATTCAAGATGAGGTGGAAGCATTAAAGAAGCAAATGCAAGATCAGGTGTAGCAAACACAACTTTAATTTGAAACTTTAATGACAATAATCAAGTCAACCTTGGTGGAGAAAGGCACATGGAAGAAACAAAGATCCTCTTCAAGTTCCCCTCAAGAAGTGAACCATGTAAGCACACTAGTACACCCAACATATAACGGTGAGTCAATTCTTTCACCTGAATTCATGAAGTCTGGTTACAATACTTTTATCCCTACGGTCGATTTGCAAATATTTATTGGGAAAGAAGATGAATTAGGTGAGAAAAGTGAAGTGGGGTTTAAGAAGAAGGAAGGGGAGAAAGAGGTGGAAAATAGAATGAAGGAGAATGGTTGTGATACGGAAGAGAATGAAGATCTATTAAAGAAGAGGCTGATGAGAACTGATAAAAAAGTGAACTATGCTGAGAATGATGTTGCACTAGATGAGGTAGTGTTCTGGGAGAAACATAGGAAGATTAGGAAGAAGAATGGGGTATCAGCAAGTAGAAAGAAAAATTGTGTCTCTAAGAGTGATGGATTGGAAAGTGAAAAAATAGTCAAAATGGTAACGCCAATAGTGGGAAAGAGAAAGTTAGTTGAAAAGGAGAAACAGTGAAGCAAGAGAAGGGGAATATTGAAGGAGAAGAGAAGAAAGAGAGTTGTGAAGGAGAAAGAGAATGAGATTGTTTGATGATAAGCTCATGGACAGATTATGGGTTTAGGACTCGAAAAGAACAAGTTGAGCAGGGCAACAAATTCAAGTGCACTACTAAGTTTACTAAGGAGGAGTGCTTGTTGTGTGATCAATGTCATAGAAAGGGCAAGGGTCATGTTGTAGGGTGCCTGAAATGTAAAAGAAAGCGCTATTGTATCCTTTGCTTGACAAAATGGTATCCTAAGATGATAGAGGATGACATTGCCAATGCTTGTCCAATAAGTCTTGAAAATTGCAATTGTAAATCTTGTTTGCGTCTACATGCGCCAATAAAAGACCTAAAAATTTTAGATCTAGAAGTAAGCAAGGAAGAAGTGTAGTACTCTAAGTTTTTACTTCGTGCTCTTCTTCCAATTCTGAAGCGGTTAGATGAAGAACAGATGATGGAGAGAAAGATTAAGTTTAGGATAAAAGGTGTACCACTGGCAGACTCAGAGGTAGAAAATGTTGGATGCCCTGCAGATGAGCTCATGTTTTGTGATAATTGCAGAACTTCTATTTTTTATTATCATAAAAGTTGCTCAATGTGTTTTTTTGATCTTTATCTTGTCTATTGTTGGGAGATTTGTGCTGGACACTTGCAAGGTGGTGAGCCAGATGTGGTTATAGAATACATTAACAGAGGAATATTGGCATGATGAAGGATGGACAATAGAAGATGAATCACGAGCTGATTTTCCTAAAAAAATTAGATCTGAGGATTTAATTAGACAAAAGTCTGGATGGAAAGCATATGAAGATGGAAGAATTTCTTGTGCTTGTGGTTTTAATTCCATTGGCGATCTTGATATCAGTAACAATTTATTAAAATGGGCATCTCGAGAAGATTTTAACGATAACTATTTGTTCTATTCAAAAGACAATGAGATCAAAGAGGATGTCTTGAAGCATTTTCAGTACCATTGGAAGAAAGCTGAGCCTGTGATTATAGCAATGTGTTTGAAAATGCATCTGGGTTTAGTTGGGAACCAATGGTCATGTGGCATGTCGCCTGCCAGATAAAAAACGAAAAACATGATACAATTTTGGATGCAAAGACAATCGAGTGTCTAGATTTATGTGAGGTAGATGTTAATGACCATCATTTCTTCCTGGGATACATATAGAAAAGGCTTTATGTTAACAAGTGGCCTCAATTACTGAAGCTCAAAGATGGGCCCCTATCTAAAACATTTGTTCACTATGTGGGATATTACTTGATGGTACTAAGTTTGATTTCACAAGAGATACATATTTATCTGTGATTATAAAACTTGGTCAAGGGGAAGTTGTGGCTGGGTTGGATCAAGGGATTATTACCATGACAAAGGGGGAGTGTGTATTGTTCACATTGCCTCCTGAATTGGGCTTTAGAGTGGCAGAACGTGATGCTGTATGGCCGAATTCTTTGAGCTTGTTTCATGGATTTCGGTGGTAGATGTGAGCAAAGATGGTGGAATTATATAGAAAATTGTGGGGAAGAAAGAGAAGAAAGAGCGTCCTGGTGATTTAGATGAATTCCTTGTGAAGTATCAGGTGACAATTGTTAATGGTACTTTGACGATGCTACATGGGAAGTCGTTGAAGAATTAGAGCAGTAATTTCCAGATTTCGCATTTAATCTTTGAGAATAAGGATTTTTCAAAGGAAGGGGTATTGTTGTGAATATTAGTTCATTGATTTGATAATTCTTCGTTAATAGTTTAGTAAATACACTAGTATATATCCCTCGCGTTGCAGCGAAGTGAATTATATAACATTCTTATGCATTTATTAATATAAAATTTAACATTTACAAATCGTTATTTGATAATATCATGCAAAAATAATTCAAAGAAAAAAAAACTAAAACATATATTTCATAATTTACTATAGGGTTAGCTAAATGAAAAGTTTGCAAAGTTGAGTAATATAATGTTGCTAATTAGATATCGTTTGATATAAACATGTATTTTATTAATAGCCGATAATTAAAATAATAATGCGGTAATTTTTTGAATTTTCGATGATTAATTTTGACCGTATATTATTCATTTGTAATTTGTTAATGAGATAAAGAGACCACTCAAAACAAAAAGATAAAAAGCTCGTCAAATCGAGAATTTAACAAAGAAAATAAAAATAAAATTACACATTATAAAAATTAAATGATTAAAATAAAATAAAGATTATAAAAAGGATAAAAATAAATAAATAAAACTTTCACTAAAAGCATACAAAAAATACTTATAAATAATAAGACTAACAAAATTACATAATGCATAAGGCGAGAACAAAAGTAAACATTATAGAATTTTAATGACTAAAATAAAAAAATTAATAAAACAAGAATCAAAACATAAAATTTTTCACTAAAAAAAGAAAAAACTTAGCATAGTTAAAATGTATTTAATTTTAATGTAAAATGAATAATAATTAAATATAATAAAATTTTAATGATCAAAATAAATGAAAGATCATAAAACAAAAATCAAAATATAACAAAAAGTTTTATTAAAAGTAAAAAATAGTTCATTGTAGGAAAAAAATTTAATGATCAAAATAAAAAAAATTATAAAACAAAGACTAAAAAAAAATTCTACTAAATTTAATGACGAAAAGAAAGAAAAAATAACAACACATAAATTAGAATAGCAAGAAAATTTCAGTAAAAAAAAAAAACAAACTTAGGATAGTAAACTTTATTTAGTTTTAGTAGTTTTAGTATAGTAAGGATAAAAATTAAATATGAGAAAATTTTAATAACTAAAATAAAAACATACTAAAAATAGAAACAAAAAAAAACATAATTTTTTACTAAAAGTTAAAAAAAATTGATTATAAGGATAAAAATCACATATAATAACATTTTAATATTTCTGATAAGGATAAAAATCAAAGATCAGAAAAGTTTAATGATTAAAAAAAATAATGAAGGGACCAAAATAATAAGAAGCAATTTCCTAAGCCGAAACGGAAGGAAAGAAAAAAAAAGCTAGGCTAGCGTATCAAGCTAGGCCCATTCTTATGCAAAGATGAGGGACCAAAGTGTAAAAAAAATCAATGAATAATGAAATATTAGTGTATGAACAATATTTGAAGTAGTAACCTATCGTCTTGTTTTAGTTTATTTAGTTAATTAGGCTACTACACAATTGTTAAGTGATAAAGGTTAGTTGTTAAATGGAGTGCTGATAAGCCACTTGTATTAGTTAGTTAGCAATATTTAGTTTGCTAGTTTAGCTTGTATTGCATAAATAGCTAGAGGATTTACGGAACATATATGTTTTTGATAACTGATTCTTCCATTGAATACAATAAACATATATTCTCTCTTTAGTTCTTTCTTTTCCCTTCTCTTTCTCAAATTCTAGGCTTCTTGTTAAGCAATCCATTACTGGACTTTAACATATTTTTATCCAAAAACACTTCAAAATAAAAAAAATTACATCAAAAAGCTTTTTTATAACCTTAAAACCTATTTTAATGCACAAAAAACACATAAAAATTTAAATCAAAATTAAAAAATTAAAATATTTTTGGATCTCGATCTATTCTTCCAATCATTTCATTATTTTCTATCATTACAAACGAATTCTACTCATCGAGCCAAACAAAATAGCGGTAAGCTCGACCGTTGAGGTGGCCGGAATGGCCTCGCCATTCCTCTCTCTCCTCCTTTCTCTCTCCCTTGTTTATCTCTCCTCCTAGCATCCAGAGACCAAAATGAAAGAAAAATAAAGTTGTAGATTGAAAAAAATGTTACAACATGAGGGATAAAAAAAAAAAGAAGAAAAGTTAAATTTGTATATCAATGCCCAAAAATACACAAAAAATAATGAAAAACCGAAATCCAAAAATTACTTAAATCACCACTCAATGAACATTAAAATAAGACATGTGAACATGCTAGGAACACTGAAAATCCTATGCCTATTAGTTTTTTTTTTTTTTTAATAATATCAAAATTAATTTGTATTGTAGCATCCACATTCACTAATAAAAATGCATTACATACCCTCCTTATTTAATGATTTAAGTAATAAGTATCATCTACTTTTAATTACATCTTACGTTTTTTTAGTCTTAATGCTTAAAATCTAGCACTAGACAAGTAGGACAAGTTTTTTCTTCTTAATGTTTCATCAGTGGTAATTTTTTAACGACAAAGAAAACCATGCTACAAAATAAATAATTTATTTATTTATTGTATAGTATGTGTTTTTTTTTTTTGTAAGAAATATCTAAGCATTTCTATATTTCCTCTATTAGCCAAAAGCATTGGGTGGACAAAAATTCTCTTTGAAGGACGGATATACTAGACTTCAACAAGCGCATTACGGAATAAGAAAATTACGAACAAAAACTGCCATCCGGAAATTTCATGCATATATTGTGATGGTCACTTAAAGCTGAGAAGATGGTGAATCAGAAGCAACTGCCTCTTTAACTTTTTTCAGTCGTGTAATTGTAATATTGATCACTATCGGAAAAAAAACAAAAAAAAATTGTTAGAGAAGGAACAATGATTTATTCAGAACTATAGTGGCTATTACATGATTATGAAACGCAGAGCAAAATGGCAGCATTCTGCAACAAAAAACTATAATTCCACAAAGAATGCTCAACAGAGAGTTTTCTTAATCCGAGAGCAGGTCAAGATGCTAGGGTCATACTTGGACAGCTATCCACGTAGCAGGCCAAGATGTCTCTGTAGTCTCGAGATATCTTGAAAGAGTCATAAACTTTTCCATCCCTGCTTTTCTTGTACTCAAACAACAGGTTAGAATGATCGAATGCTGTAAGTTTTACAAATCCGTAATCGTGGTCTTTAAAGTAACTCCAAGTTGTATTGATGGGGGTGAATTCTGCAAGGCTTGCTCCTCCTCCACCAGCAACAACATGTATTGTTCCATTTAAGGGCCCATTGTAGTAGGATTTCTCTTTACTTGTGCAGATATTCTATAGCAACAAACAAACAAATAAATTAGGTTAAACAGTAATAAGGCGAGGTGTTGAATATATAAATCCAGGTTGGAGGTTCATTTGAAATTAATTGATACACATGACATGCAGTAAGTCAGCAATTTACTAGAAATGAGTAAAGCATATTTAAGTGAAAAGTCAATTTTGCCAGCGAATTTTGTTTGAATTACTAAAAGAATTGCTAGTTTCCATCGAGTGTGCTGGGTATAGGAAGAAAACTTCATAGGAGTATAAGAAGAGAGAGATTTATTTCCAAGGTAACTTCTTGATGAAGTAGATATCACCTGCATATTGTAGAAAGCATGAAAACAGAGTTCCTGGGTATGGAAAGACATACTAGAACAAACAAGGTGTCTAAAATCTAAATACTGTGTTCCCAAATTCTTTTCCAAGAAATAGACAACAAGACACTGGTATTAATAGTTGTTAAATACAATTAAAAAAATGCGCCCTAACGCACTAAAAATCACAGAACTTATTTAAGAATGTGGACAAGATAACTGGAAAATGGCTCAGACTTCACTTCTTGATCTGACATTAAGATTTACAAAAACAGAATGGTTGAACTGAATTGCTTTTAAGTTGATTTTTGTTTTTTACGATTTTTTTGACCAACTTGGAAAGCCTATTATTCAACACACTTATTGCCCCACTTAGGTTACAGGTTTGCACTATCAGACCTGGCACTTTTAAGTTGAAATGACTTGACTTTCACATTAGTGCAGATAGAGCAAAGAGAAGTGTAAGTGCATTACTGGTGGTACTTGTTAGCATACCTGGTAAATGGGGCATGTCCTTTCGTAATTGTGAGCATGGCCGTATATGGCTATGTCAACCTTGTACTTCTGCCAAAGCTTTTGAAGGCTCTCCCTTCCCATAGGTTCCTCGAACGATCCTTCGTCAGCATACAAGGTAGTAGAAGAATAACCTAGCACCCGATGTGCAAGGAAAATTAGCCATGGTTGCTTTTGTCTATCAGCAGAAGCAAGGCAATGCTCAATAAATTTGTATTGCTCTGTTCCCTCCCTCCAGTCATGTTCTGTGTCAGCTATGCAAAACCGGAACATGCCATAGTCAGTGGAATACCTGGTAACAGGGAATCAGAGAATTAGCACATCCACAAAAAAATGCATAAGGAAACCGGGCATCAATTAGTGGGATGGTATTCTGGGACAAGCAAAAACAACTGAAATGTCAAAAAAAGAGAAAAAGGAAAAAACAGAATAATGGATTTCAGTGAGGAAGAAACCAAAGAAGCCACAATTTTTTCTTGTCATGTTTACCATTAAAGAGGTTTGAAATAAATTACTACCAACATTTGATATTCCAAACGAGAATAATCATAACATGTTCGAAGGTAATTATAACGTAAAGTCTTTTATTAAAAATTTCCCATACCAGAATTTAGCCCTGTTCTCAGCAGGGACATAGAACATCGTCTCAGCCAATACACCACATTCTCCTCCAGAATCTGAGTTCCCATAGAAGGATCCTGTTCCTGGCCAGTCACGCTCATGGTTGCCACTGAAAGGATAAAATTCCAATTACCATATACGATGAAGTACATGAACAATACAAGCTCAAACAAAAAATACAGATAACTTACGACAAACCTTGCAATCATGTAA